GTATTGTTAGAATTAGACCCTGTAGGATATTTAGATTAGGTATATTAGAGTTAGTATTATATAATATATCAATTATATTTTGAGTAGCTATTATATTAGATATGAGGTCGTTAGAGTATTTTAATATAAATTTTGTGCAGTTAGTTGTGATTATAGTTTGTAATAAGCATATGTTTGTTGAACAGGTAAGCTAGTATAAGTTATCTTCAGTATTTGTTTTGCATCTTGTATATAGATCTGAGGTATATTCAAATAGATTGTAGATATATAGGTTTTGTTGTACTAGAAGTTTATTAAGAAGAAATTTTAGCTTGAAAGCTTTTATGTATAAGTAAGTAGGATGAGTAGATTTTGTGATTAAAGTGCAGTTGTAGTTGATAAAAGTGTATATAGCTTTCCAGTTTATAGTAGCTTTAGTATTTGTCTAAAGCTGTGCTCTGTTTGAAGAGTGCCATTATGTTATATATGTAGCATTATTTAGATAATCTATAAAGCATTGAGAGCTATGCTCTATTACATGATATTGCTAGTAAAGGTAGAAGAAATTTGAATTTTGTATATATTGAATTGTTATCAGTAAGCAGTTGAAGCTAAAGTTAGGTTTAAGAGGTGTAGAGTTAGTTATGATATTTTGTGTTAAAGTTTTTAAGTTGATATTGAGTTGTAGACAGTTAATAGTAATAAATAATTATTGCCAAAGAAGCCACATGTGTATTTTTAGTTTGTATTGAAGTTTGTGTTCAAATTGCTGATAGAGTGAGTTAAAGGTAGTAATAAATGTTGAGTTTTTGAGATAGATAGTGATGTTAGTAGTAGGTAGTGTAGTTAGATAATTGAGAGGATTCTAGTACAGATTGTATAGTTTATAGAAGGCCATGTTGTGAGTTATACATAAAAAGTTGTGTTTGTAAATGAGATAAACTATATGAAGTTTGTAGTTTATTCTGTTGTATTAGTATTCTGTATTTGGATACTAAGGTGAGTAGTTATACTATGTTTTTTTGAGTTAGTGGCTTGTATTATTTTTAATTGTTGAGTTGCTGTTCCATGTAGGAAGAGGTCGGTAGTAATATTTAATATAGAAGTATTTGGTTGTATAGTAAGATTATTAGTAGTATTAGTATTAAAAAGTAGATAATGAATAAGTAGGTCTGTGATGTCTGTTCTCAGATAGTTTTGTTTAGTAACTTGAATTAGTATAGCATAATCTGTTAAGATTGTGATACTATATTTGTTATAGTAAGTATTAGTGGTATTAACACAATGTTGGCATTGCATTAGTAGGTTGTTGTCATTATTAGATAGATTTCAGTAAGATATTTTAATTAAGTATTATTTTTGCTAATAATTTTCTCTATTATTATTTAAGAGTTGATGTGTGTTAGAACCTATTTGTAGGTTATGTTGGTAATGTTAGTAACTATAAAAGAGTTTGGATATATGAGGTTGTCTGTTTGTTAAGAGTTGTTTGTTAGTATGTTGTTTGTAAGTAGTTTTTTAATTTCTTTGTACTACTGTGGATATGTCCTTTTTGTATTTTTTATATTTTGTATAGTATTGTTGTCTAGTCTAAGATATATGTATTTGTATAGTTAGTTAGTTGTTCTATCATATAGATTTTTGCTTTAGTTGTTTGTAGCTTGTAGGTTGTAGATGATTTGAGTTTTTCAAATAAGTTGTTAATAGATATTCTAGAAAAAGGTAGTGGTAATGGCCAAGAATGAGTGATGTTTACAAGGGTTATGTTTAGAGTATACATTAGTTGTAGAGCTGAAGTAGTAGTCATATTATTGATTTTTTGTAGTACAATGAAGTTTTTGTATTGTGTAATACTTTGGTTAGTATATACGATATTTTGGATTTGTTAAAGCTAAATACATAGTGATATATTATTGTCAGTATTTAGAGTATTAATTAGAGTAGTTGTATGATTTTGTCTTTGGATATCCCATAAGTTACAGAACCCATAGATGTTATAGTTGAGGATTGTTGAGCTTGGTATAGATGATACAAGGGTAGCTTTGTGCTTGGTTAAAGTTATATATTTGTTAGTAAATTTTTTGCATATAGTATAGAGTAGAATAGTATTCTGAGTTTGATAGGAAAATCTAGGAATGATAATTATGTTAATTATATATATTGATTGTTTATCTATAATTTTCTTTCTTTTTAAGCAGTTTGTTGCCTGAATAAGTTCATTAGTAATAATTTTGTGAATAGAGTTGTATGAAATATGAGTATTAAACTAATATCCTAGGAAATGAAAAGGGCAGTTTAGTTGAACTATTATGATAGTTGTGTTGTTGAAAGTAGTATCGAGTAGATTATAATTATTGTAGGCTACAGCTAGTACTGATTTAGATAGATTGACAGTTTTATTAACGAGTGTATAGAATGAGGTTGTGGTACTTATAATTTGTTCTAGTGTATGTCTGTTAGATACGATCTATAGTATATTGTCTATGTAGACTAGTACTAGTTGGTCAAATAAGAGGTTAGTCAGGTTTGTTGTATATAGACTTCTAGTTTGTATTAAATATCCAGAGAAATTGTTACAAATATGAGTAATAAGAGGGTCATAGAATATATGTCATAGTATGAGTGTAATAGTTTATTCTTAATCTAGCTCATCATGCATAGAGTATGAGTCTGTAAGTTCCAGATTTGTAATAACATTATTGTCGTAGTTTGAGTAGATATTGATAATTAGGTCATATATAGCTTGTAGAATTTGTAATCAGAGAAGTGCTTTAGATAGAAGTTTGATGTATACTAAATCATACGCCTTGCTCATATCTTGTAATAAGAGCTATAGCTCTTTTTTGTGAGTATGTATATCTTCAAAAATATGTATTAGAATTTGAATAGGTTTACTAGTTGAGGTATTTGGTAATGCTACAAAATTATTAGGATTTAGTATATTGTATTTAGATAATATAGTAGTTAATCGGCAAGTAATAATTTTTGTAAAGATCTTTTGAATATGTTCAATTAGTGAGATTGGTCTGGTATAGTTAAGTTGCTCTGTAAATTTAGGTTTTTTTGAGACTAGAAATATGTAGCTATTTTTCATAGGATAGAGATTTGGTTTAAATCTACACATTAGTTAAATAGATGTGTGAAAAGATTTAATAATTTTGGTCTACAATATTTTAGCATTTCATTAGAGATATGGGAAGGGCCTGTTGCTTTGTTATTAGGTAAGTTGTTTATAATCTGAGTAATTTTTTGTGTTTGTTATTAGTTTGGTAGTTTCATTATACCAGCTTTTTCTAATATATTTTTTTGATATGTATTCTTTTTCCAGTTGTTCTATTTATTTATATTAGTTGGATTTTCTTTTGTCCAATATTTGTAGTGTTCTTTTATATGTGCCTTGATTTGAGCAGGGTTTGTGATTTGTGTATTTTTAGTTGCAATTCCTTAGAAAGTTATTAGGTTAGTTTGTTAGTTGAGAATACTGTTAATCATTAGAGTATTATTAGAGTTAAAGTTGTCATAGCGTTTATTAATTTGGTTTTGTATATTTTTAGTAAGTGCTTGTCAGTTTTCTAGATTTCTGGCTTTGTATAGAATATTGCAATGTTGCTTAAGAATTGAGATTGTATTTGGTAGATTAGTAGATGTAGTATCAGTTAGTGTGAATATTTGAATCTCTAAGTCTGTTAAGGTATTAATTTTGTTTAGTTTAGCATTAATATCATTCAGATTGTATTTATTTGCAGTAGTGAGTGAGCATATAATACTGCTGATAAGTTGTAAATCTGTGTATAGTTTAGTAGCAAGAAGGGAGTGAGTATAGTATTTTCTATTTGTAGAAGTAGAGTTGAGTATATATTTGTTAGTAGTATCAGTAATTAGAGTAGTTATTTTATTCCAGATTTAGTTAATGTTGAGTATTGGTAAGTTGTAGAATATGTTTGAGGAGCTCATCTTTTGTTCTATATGTATTAAGAAGTTGTTTCAGCTTTCTTGGTTTATTGATGCATAGTGATAAGTTTTCTTTTTTGAATAATGCTTAGTTCTAGATGAGTGTAGAAAAGATTAATTAACTATTCAGTGTGAATAATTCAGTGGTCGCTGTCTGTTATCATTGTAGTCAGAGTTAAAATTAGTTAGCTGAAAGTGTGTACTATCTGTTGTAGTATCCAAATTTCATTAATTTAACTTTGTAAGGGTAATTGAGTCTAAGTAGGTGTATTTGAATAGTAAGTATTAATTAGGAGAACTAAATTAATAGCTTCAAAGTAGTTGTAGTAGTTAGGTTTAGGTGTCTTGTGCTTGATCATATCATAGTTAAAGTTTTCTAGTATCATTAGATGAATTTTGCTTTTTGCTATTTCTTTAGTCTAGAGAATGACTTTCTGTTGTATCTGTTTGTTTATAGAAGAATTATTAGGAGTTAGGTATGTAGATATTATTCTGAGCTTGTTGTTAGAAAAGAAAAGGTCAATAGCGAAAGCTGCTTCAAGAAGAGTTTGAATATTGTTAATATGAGGTCTGAGTTTATAACATATACTGATAATAGTTCTAGCTGATAATATATTATTACAAGCAAGAAAGGTATAGTAGTATTGGTTTGATAGGTTGTGACTATTCCAAGATGATTTCTTTAGTTTAGTTTCTGTAATACAAATAATATTTGCATTTTCTTAATTGCAGTATTCAAACTATTGCTATTTTTTGTATACTTATTGAATCCTCAGATATTATGTATTAGGATTTTGAGTAAGCTTTGTAACAGGTTAGTAGTGAAGTTTGAGATATTTGTAAGTAGTGTGGTATTAGAAATATGGTTTAGGTTGTTTGAAGAGTTATGCTTAGCTATAGGCTTTGTGTTAAAGATTCCAAAAAATAGTATTGGATATATTGTTTTTGTATTAGATATTTGTTTGCTACTTATCAGGTATAAATAGAATATCCCAGATAGGAGGTAAAAGAGGAGGTAGTTTTAATAAGTATTCAGGAATACTTCTGATTATAAAGTGTTATCTAAGGGTATGCAGTGTATCGTTAATACTTTCTTAAGTGATAAGAGGGCTTCCAGAAATCAGATGATTAGGGTTTACTAAGAGGCTACCCTCACTCACTCCTACCTGATACTCTAATTAGCTAATCAAATTTTATATATATTAAAATTATTATTATAGTATATATAATAAATTATAATAATAAATAAGTGTTACTAAGGAAAAAGATAGCACGAACTTTCAATTACATTTTGTACTAAACACAATTTAGTATTATGTTCGATACAAAATATAATTGAAAGTCCATACTATCTTTTTTCTTAGTAGCATTTATTTTACACATAATTGACCATATGCATATCAATTGAGATACTAAATATAAATATAAATATACATATCAAATTCGCATATTTTCATACAATCTCTGCAGCTATTATTTATGCATAATGCTATTTAATTATAAATACTTCGGTAAATTGAATATTTAAATACTAAATTCATAATGATAAGGTTTGTTAATTTGAAGTATCATTAGAAAAGCTTTTCTATTTATAATACACAACAAGGTCTAATTTTAAATGCATTGCATCTAAATCATAAAATTTTGCTAGTTCACATTAATATTTATAAAAAAAACTATAAAATAATACTTTTAAAGATATACGTATATCATAATCTAGTATATATTCACATACTATTTAAGTTATATGAAAAAAAATTAGTTTAGATATCAATGTATATTTAAAATATATAGCTTAATAATATAGTTAATATAATACCTATCTGGCAAAATAAAATGTAAAATTAGCAATAATCAGTTTTATTAGCTGTTAAGTTTGTCTTTGCTCTTTTAACAATTTAATATAATAATATATTATCACTAAAAAGTTGCATAGTCTGATAGTTTTCTAATTTATTCATAGTATAATTCACAGATCCTAAATTATTATAATTGGAATTTCAACTAGCGATATAAACCAAACTCAACAGTTTGGGAATTAGTAGATTCTTAAAGGTTTTTACTTGATTTAGCAATTGTGACATAACTATATTGTAACTCAAATTTATGTATCACTTACTAGAGCCCAAATCATAAGACAAATAAATTATTATTATCTAGTAATGTAGGAGAATTGTTTTCACAATTTTCTGCACTATCTTATATGCCACGCTTGTTTCTTTCTGTACTATATTTATTTCATATAGTTGATTAGTTCTTAAGGACACAGGTTTGGGCTTCAAATTAGATTTGGAATTTCAAAAGTGTCAACTCCTAAACTAAATTAGGTAGAAATCACAAACTGTCCTATTCAGGTTTGGTTTATAGTACTAATTTCAATCAATAATAATATTGACTAATTTATAAAGTTGGCTAACGAATAAAAAAATATTTATCATTGTAATCATATTAGTAAGAAGATTGGATTTCCTTATCCAAATTGCTGATATATGATTAAAGTCTTATCGATGTAAATAATCTAAATAAAATCATAGAGAATTTAACTTTAGTGAATACTGTGAAAAGTTTGTATATTCTATGATCAGTATAATATTCTGTATAGTACATATCAATTTTAAAACTATACTATACTAATCAGCTAAAATATAATTCATAGTCCTAATATTATAATGTAAGATCAATAGTATAATTTTTTTGAATCAGCCTTTATTGTAAAGATCTAGTTAATTAAACCATATTGATCAGCATAACTTAGATACTCATAGAAATAATATGATAGTTCTAAAAACTTATCTGTATTATCAGCCTTTTCTGCAACAAAATCATACAAAGTTCTCACAACAATGTGTAATCTTAAGATAATTTTGTCTACGCATCAAAAAAAGTTCAACTGTATCAATAAAATATAATTAGTTATAAAATGAAAAACTCAACATAGCAATAGCAATAAGTAGACGCACATATGCATATATAAAAACATATACTCATATTTTGTGAATTAAAGTCTCTTCGTGTAAATCTTCTTCTTGAATACTTGTTATATACTGATATGATGTGCATTAATTGTAATATTTAATATTTATATGTAAAAAAATTTGCATCACGCAAGTACTTTAATCTACAAAATACAGTATATATATACATCTATACCTAGAGGATTTGTTGTTAAACATTCTTGTCATTATGATATTTAATAATTATAAGCAATTTTGAGTAATTATATATACCTCTGAAGTGCATTAAAAAAAATTAAAAAAAATGCAAACATTTTTAGATACTCCAAAATTTAATAAAAAATTAATATTCAAAAATCCTTCAAACCTATATAAAAATTTTTGCAATGCATATGTATATTATTTGGCCATTTCTATAGGAACTTAGTTTCCTAAAAAACAAGATATTTTTATAAAAGCTCAAGAAAAGTAGAAGGCTATACGAAATTTGAATGAAGAAACTATACAAAATAAAATAAATAATTATTTACAAACACCTTTAAGACCTATTCAATATACTTCTTTTATATCTACTTTAGTTATATCAAATGAAATTAGTTCCCCTATATCTATACTATCTACATTCACATCTTTTACAACAGAATCTGAAAAACTGCACTATAATGCAACTGCTCAAAAAAATTCTTTAGCTAAACAAGAATGTACTGAAAATCAGCTCAATAAATTAAAGGAGTTGTATAATGTTGTGTGTGATCCTAAATAGTGTCATGATTTTTTAATTCAAATCAATGAAACTAAACAAGAAATTGAAGCTGAAAAAAAAGAAGCAAAAATTAAAAAAATATGCCACCGCACAAGCTAAAAGTCAAGCAAAAAAATGTGAAGCTTTAGAAAACAAAGAGGAAGTTATTAGATATGATTCACCTGAGCACTCTTCTTTTCTTCTTCTAAATTCTGATCTTCTTAAGCAGATGCATTCATATATCAAGTTCAGTACCTTGCCAAAAAAAGGCAGAAAGAAATTATTAAAGTGTGTACTATTTCTTATTTAAAAAAAGAAATAGAAGAAAAATATCAAATTTATATATCATATACCTGTTTATATACATACACTTGGCCCAGAAAAATTAATTCTTCAAATGCTAAAAGACACCACTATTCTATAGCTATTCAAGTAAACTCAGTATCTAGAAATGAAATGCCTGAACATTTAGATGAGTACTATTGTTTGCAAATGATCAAAAATGCAAAACAATTTGCCAGTGCTTTTGCCTCTCATTCTGTAATTATATCACAAGAAGATAAGACAAAAGTTCTACTTAGAATACTAGCAGTTAGGAGAACATTTAAAACTATACAATCTTTCTATGAACTAGTTGCGATACCTGGTAATTATATATAAACAAATATGATAAAACCTCCAAAGTACAGACCTTTTCTAAATGCATACTTAAATTTGAGTCTATATATATATAGGATTTTTGCTAGGAAAATCACACTTCAGGATTTTCTGAATAGGTCAATTTGAAAAGACTTAGACCAGAATATCAGTTCTTATTTATATGTAATTCGTCTTTTACCTTTATCAATGCAATAGCTTATTTAATAAACTATTATATTAGCAAGGTAAATGATGATTTGCATATAAATAAGAACTGGTATTCTGGTATAAGTCTTTCTGAATTAGCCTATTCAGAAAATTCTGAAAGGTAATTTTCCTAGCAAAGATCCTATATATGAACTCTGTAAATGTACTTTTCTTATTGTTCTCTAAGTACATATCGTTAAAAATTTGTCCCAAGTGCCTGTACTTATAAAAGTTTTACTGTATATGAATTATTTAAGCTTGGTTTTTTTTTTTTATTATTAAGGCCACTTCCTTGGCCGATTAGATTTTTATTAGTTTGTTATTGCGGAACTATTATATGAACAGTTTCCTAAGGTTTTATAGTTATATGATGAGTATACAACAAGCTATATGTACAACTTTAGTCATTGTCTAATTTAAGTAGTCTGCCATACAGACAATCGACCATCTGTTGGTTCTACACTATG